AAGTTTGGAAACCGTCTTTTTTTCTCTTCCCTTTGTGTTCGCCCCCCAACCATTTGCGACAGATGGCTGCCTCTTCCTGAGCTGTTTCTACCAGTGATTTCTTCCCAACTGCCTTTCACTCAGGCCCATTCAGATAAAAAGCTAATTTGGATGAAATGGTAGCTTTTGTGTATCAGTTACTGTTACACCTCCTCACTACAGTAGATTGTGTATTGACTCAGTGATCTAATGAGTTGATAAAACAATGTGGCTCTTTTAACACTTGACACTCTTTCCTTCCTTGCACGTTTTAAAAAACAACTTTTCTACAACATTTCTCCATGTACATTTGTAAGTTTCTTCCCGATATTATATAACATAAAAAAGAAACACAAAAAACTCTGTAATTGTATCTATTAGAAGTTTTCCCCCAAGACAATTTACCAGAATCTGAATATTTTATTAATCCCAGAGGAAATTAATTGGTCACAGTTGCTCAAAGGCAGTAAGAACAGTACGGATAAGTTAAAGTAATTGATTAAATACACTGGAAAATAGTCCTAGTAGTAAATATAACTTATTATAGAAATATCCAGATATAATACAGCACAAACTGTTTATGTTTCAACATGTGATGCTCAGTGTGGGGGATAATTTTGCTGACTGTCGGATGATTTTTAATATAAAACTCACGCTTTGCATATAACAGTTATTATTATTTTGATGACCGAGTTGTCGAACTTATTGGCGAACCAAATTTGGGTAAACGACAGTTCTTCACTCGACTGCTCTTCCTGGCACCGACGGTGCCAGCCTTAAAGCGGCTGCGCTCTTAAACCGGAAACTACCTCCTTTGGGTTTCAAAATAAAAACCATGGGCTTCGACGTCGCGTAAAAATAAAAGCTTTAACGCCATATAAAAACAATAAAATATGTAAAATGTATGCATTTAATATTCGAGTATAATCTTAAAACGTGTCGGACTGTAAAAGCGCCAATTAATTTATACGACGTTTTTTTTTATTAAAAGACTTAAAGGTGGACGTAGCTAATTTTCGCTTACTTGACGACGGCTCACCGTTTGCGCTTTAAGTGCCAAAACGACAAATGCAAACAGTTGTTATCGCTACGTTTCACCAGCGTGAGTGTCCAAGCAGGGGACACTTTGCCGAGACCTTCTTAAATGTACATATTGCGTCACAAAACCTCAGTGTTGGGGTGTCGGTGGATGACGCAGGGTTTTCTCAGTTAAGTTTACACAGGATAGGGTTGACATAAGCAGCTCCCGCAGAAGAAGACGACGGTGGGGCAAATAATCCGAGTCACAAGACTTCTTCTCCTTCTTCAGTGAGCCGCACGACTGCTTTCTTCCCTCCCAGGTAAAGTACGGATTCATTCGGCTTTTTCTTTCATTATTGATGAAGCAAGCCGCAAAGCACATTTGGGTTAAAAGCAGCAGCGCTGATGAAAGTTAGCCGTACGGTTACACCGTGTCGGCTTGTTTGACAGCTCGGTCCTCGTCACGAGGAAAGAGGCTAATCCGCTGTTCCTGGGACCGCGCTGTGCTTTTCGCTGCTCTTGTGGCTTTTAGCCCCGAAGCCGCAGGCATGTAGCAGAAAGAGAAGTGCAAAAAAAGCGGAAATGGTTGCGAAAACTTCACCGTAAACACAGATGTGCTGTCATTAACTCTGCAGCCGCTGTTTGGTATGAAGCGGGTGAGGAGGACAGAGAGCAGCTGTTGTCGGTGCCCGTGTCTCAACAGTAAAACAGTTAGCAGGGGGGCTCTTTGACCTCTTACCTGTGCGCTACTATGTCTAACTTTTGGACGAGTTTACGTGGTAATCATGCAGCCGACAGAGAGAGAGGTAACTAAAGCGGAAAAGCGGATACCTACCGTGGGGCTAGTAGAAGTTAACCCTCCCTCTCTTCTTTGTTTCCCCCTACTTTCCCCCATTAAAAGGCTCTGAAGGGATGGAAAACCCCGGGTACTGCTCCGGGAGCTTTGACGGCCTTCATCATCCCAGCGATGACGATGATGACGAGATGGTGGACATCGCAGGAGCCACGCTGGACTTCTCGACCACGGACGACGTCCCTCCGCTCAGCTCAGGTGGGGCTGCTGCTGCTGGTCTTTCCAACGCCTGGTTTCAGTGCTGAGCTTTTTAAAGTTCATAAACCATTTCAACTAAACTCTTATCAGGGAGTTGTGAGGCAGCTTCAAAGCACAAGTCATGTAACTTGCTTCAGCTAACTCTGGCATTAAAAGTCCCCCTCAAAGTAAATAAATACAAAAAAAGAGTTTAAATTCAGGAATCACTTTCAGCCTGTTTCCTGCACAACTTCTTTCTTCTGACAAATGGGGGGCGGGTGTGCATGGTGATTTTATATTGATATTTTATTAAATACATTCAAGTACTCTGGAATTATTATGGGACAAGAGGGCTCATTTTGCCTGATTGGAGGCAACGTTTTCTGCAAGCAGTTGCAGTCTGACTTGGACTGACTGCAGTCACTCAGAGAGATTGTTGGAGGTTTGCGAAGAATTGCTGTATAACCTCTAAACGCCACACAGTCTTTGTCAATGAGCGCAACTCGGGGAGACTACACTCCCCTCGCTTTGTTCTGGTTATATTCCTAAAGAACAGGAGAGGTTGCTGAGGGCATTTCTGTCTGTGTAGACGGCAACAGATATGTGATTTTGGAGGATTTGTCACAGTTGATTGTTGCACTATCAGAAACAGACTGCATGTAATTGCCAGCTTGAACCCATACAATCACAGACTGATAGCAGACTGATTCCGTCTTACTTTAATGACAGGGTTAGTCAACCATCTCATTTTGCAGCAAAAACATAACTGACGTGACAAAAAGGCAGGAAGTGTGCGGCAAAATGTTAAAAACTGCAGTAATATCGCATCGTGAGTGAAAGATTGTGTATTGTGGGGTATCTCGGTGATTTCCACCTTTACTATCAACGTAACATGTATACAATAATTATGGAGTGTGGGGCATGCAGTTAAACACAGCAGTGTAAACCGGTTGCTGCTGTTTCACAGCTAAGGTGACTCTGGGATTGAGTCACCTTAGCTGTAAGCTTGTCTGAAAACGCTACGTGCTATACATGCTCCCAGTTGTTTTACTAATTAATATTAGACTACACGGCTAGTTTAAAAGTAAAACAACAATCAAAGTGTGATGGACAAGGTTAAAAACTGATGTATTTTTGTCCCCTGCTGGAGATAAAAGGAATAGACCTGAAGCTAGCAAATGTCTATCACAGATCACACATAGTTTACATCTTTTTGACAGTCTTTTCTTATACAGCTAATAACAGGAAGGAGAATGTTTGCCAAGAAAGAGGTCTTAGTCAGAATTAGAAGAAGGTCACGAGTTTTGTAATCAAATTATTTCACTGAGTTGTATTAATCATAACCGTCATGGTCAGAACTAACAGGAAAATATGCAGACTTCTGTCACATAATGTAAGACTGACTTTTACTGTATGTAGACAGTTTGTGCATAGGTGTGTAATTACTTGTAGTTTCAGGCCCATTTCAAATTCTGAAACCGTCATTTGCTTGTATATTATAAACAGTCATTTGCTTTTTGATTGCACAATGATATCATTACATTTCCTGTGTCTACACAGGACTCTACGTACTCGAGTACGTGAGGAATTGGGCTGTCACTCAGTAGCAGCCTGGCTGTTTGAATGTAGTAGGATTAAATGACACTTCCTTTTGCAACTTGATAGTTTAGAGAGCCTGGCAACTGATTTTATTTTCTACCCCCGAAAAAAGTTGCACTGCAGATGCTAGTGTGGCTAAACTGCTGTCTGGAAGTGTTTGCGTACTCTGTGATTAGTGTCTGTTAGTGCTCTCAAACACTGATAAGGTATCAGTAGTTTGTGTGTGTGTGTGTCTGCGCATGGCACATGCTTTGTGAGTCACCTGAATAAACAGTTACCTGGAAACGTACAGATTTATTGTGTTTATATATATATATATATGTGTGTGTGTGTATGGCTCACCCTCTGGCTGTAAATAAGCCAATTAACTGAGATAAGAGCTTTACAGTGTTTGAGAATACAGTGGAAGGTTTGATAATTTGGTTACTTTAAGAAAATATGCAAAAATCATGTCTGGGTTTTTATTTTTAAGAATTGCTGCCAATTTAAGAGGATGAGTTGGAGGGTGAAGCAGGTCAGAATAAAAGAGCTGTGCTTCCACTCAGTTCAATTCAATTGTATAGCATGGCTGTGCGATATGACCAAGATCTTATATCCTAATATAAGACGTCTATCGTCGAAATGCGATATAAATCATAAACATTTAACATTTTCTGTAAATTCTGTGACTCTCGGGCAGCTCGCCTCGTGTGAAGTGTTTCCAGCTGCGCATCGTGTACCTGGAGACGAGTGTTTTAACCGATGCATGAAGCTATACATTTTTAGACATAAGTTGTAACGGCCGGCATTTTCTTTGTGAGTATTTATTACACAGTGGGGAAAAGCCTGTTCTAACGTTTGAGTCTAAGGTTAATTTTTTAGCACCTAATGACTCTTTGTTTCTTCTCATCTGTAAGCACTGCATACTCTTTCACTTGATTCAGTTTATTTTGAAAAGTCTCAACAGGATCTTGAGATTTATTGTGAAAGGTTTATGTGGAGCCACACGATGGTTTTACCGTTGTTGTTGCTAATGACAACACACAAAAACAATCGCCTGTCCGTCAGTAGTGTGGTTATATTAAACATAAGAGAAAGAGAGAACTTTAAGAAACTAATATAGCCACTACAGTGACCATCAAAACAATGAAAAAATATTGCCGTAAACAGTTTATTTTGCAACAACACGAAACAAACGATAGCGTAAAATGAAACGTTTTTGTATCGTCATCCGATATATATCGTTACATCGAACAGCCCTACATGGAATCACAACAGCAAGTAAGGTAAAGACCACAGAATAATACAGAGAAAGCCCTAACCACATAAACACCCCTCTATGAGCAAGCCCTTCAACAGTGGGGAGGAAAAGCTCCCTTTTAAGAGGAAGAAAACTCCAGCACAACCAGGCTCGGAGAGGGGCAGCCATCAGCCATGACTGGTTGCAGGTGAAGGGAGGAGGATTTAATTTGGAGACGGGACCTCTTTGACCTCACTATTTATTCTTTTTATTTCAGTAAATTTTATTTTATTTTATGTTTGAACAAAAAAGTAAATGAACACGAACGCTGACCTATGATACTGAAGCCTCCGACATGGTGGCCTGTTAATAGCTAAAACTTTATGCCGTTCTCAGTTGTACAATAGTTTTTAAAAACACACCTCAAATATTCACACAAATCAAAGTCTAACTGAAATAATGGTCACATGAAGTTAAACAATGACAGTCCCATTACTCTTTGTCCTAAGAAAAAAATCACACACAAAATATTAAATCAAACAACTAAACATAAGCAAAAGTAGACATGCATGGAAGGACCTTTTTAAAGAGAGTATAAGACCTCAGTGCAAAATGCACAAATTAAATGGACTAAAGAGGATGTTTGCAAATTCCTTTAATCAGAAACAAGACTGCCTGGTTACTAATGATGTCATGCTTTCAGCATGCAGTGGACACATTTTTCTTTTTTTAATTCTTGCTTTGTCACCATCAGACCTTATCACCCCACTCCCTGCATGCTTATTTGGCCAATTAGAGCTGAGATCCAACAGAGGAATTGAGTGAATGGAGTCATTTATTACACAGCTTTGTTAGTTTGTTTTTTTTATTGCTTTTTGTTTTTTTTGTTTGTTTGTTTTTTTGCCACTTGCAATGTTATAACATAGTTGCTGTTATTAATTGACAATCCTGTGAAACTCCTGCTAGTGTATTACGGTCAATTTGTCCTATTGAGAAGTTTGAATCTTCCTCAAGGGATTTGTGTTCTTCCAGAACTTGCTGACCTGTAAGGAGCCTTCCTTTCTTCATCTAAAGAGAAGAGCATCTTACCCACAGACACTCTCTTAGTACGTAGTTTTCATGCTGCCACCCTGAGAGCCTGAGCGTGTTTATCCTTAGCACTTCCTTTTCCTCATCACTGACTCTACCTGCAGGTTAAGCAGCAAACATTTTTCCAGCTCGCTTCCGTACAGCTCAGATCGTTCTGTTGTCAACTTGACATACCCTAAAATAAAATTTCAGACAAATTGGCCGACTGTACCTGTTGCCAGGGCAAATAAAGGCGAAGGCAGTGTCAGCAGTGTGCGTTATTAATCTTCCTGGTTACTACTGATGTCACAGTGACATCACCAGTTTAAGCAGAACAATAAAACGGTGCCAACAATAGGTCTGCAGATGAGATAAAGATTTGCTCTCAGTGGATATACTGCCTGCTGCTCCTGCTGTTGGGCTGTGTGTTTCACTGTGTCAGCTCTTTGAAGCCAGAGAAATATTTTTCTTTTTTCTTTTTTGTTTTTAGCTTTTTATTTTTTTTATTACACAATGGTTTATGAAAGAAGATCATCACTCAAAAAAGAGAGAGTAGAATAAAGGAGAACCAGAAGTTGAGTTTCATGCAGGTTTCAGACTAATTATATAATTATGTGCCTGGCTCCAGGGAACTCAGGAAACATCAGCTAAAACTCTTGGGTTAATATCATCCAAGTGGAAAACTCGCGTAAAGAAAGCTAATTTAAACTGAGTTACTGTGGTAAGTGTGAACCTAATAAAATAACAATATATGCTTTGACCAGCGTTATTATCGGTCAAGGAAAATTGCGTATAAGCCATGTGTCTCGTACACAGTGGCATCCACCATGAGTTAGGTAACAACTGGGTTACCCTTAAGAGTGAGTGATCCAACTCTGAACTTAAACTGTCCCACTCTCAGACCCTGATAAATGACAACTCGTCTTTCTTTATGTTTCCTGCCATTTTAATGTTTCAGCTCAAACTTCCTTCTTTTTGTTACTTTCCGTGGTGAAGCTTGGCAGTAGAAAGTGTTTGTGTCATTCCTAACCGGTCGTTAGCGAGCACTTGAACCTGTTACCAAGCAGGCTCGTTTATATCCTTGTGTAACCTGTTTCCCAGGGACTCATTAGCCTGTGGTGTTTGAAGAGGAAAG